CCCCATTGTAACGGGTGATCTGGAATAATCAATAGTCAGACTATCAAAAGTAATTCCAATCGCAAAATAATACTTGTATAGCTCATGCCTCAAATTCTATCGCTGTACCAGATCTGATCATAGAAGGTGAAGGTAAGTGAAAAACCAAAAGCCCAGATCTCTTTTACTATTTCTCATGTGTATTAGTGTATATATGCTTTTGACGACTTGATATAAGGGCTGTTATTGTATTGTGATTTGAATATGCATCCTTGTGAAATAGAATTGTTTCTTGATGGGTTTTTCTCGAGCAAATGAGCTGATTCAGTGGAATTTTGAATTTATGACTGCAAACTCAATGTTAAAGCATGTGGTAAAATCATAAAGAATTGATTTTCATATGATTCTTGATGTCCAGTGATCGGCTTCTTTTGGTATTGTTGCTTTTGACTTGGCTTCCCCCATTTTTTTTTATTGCCAAGATTGTGGTTTTGGTTGGAGGAATAGTGGAGGTCATTTGATGGGTTTAAATTCATTTTGCCAGTGATTATGATACAAGTTGGATATATGGGATAAAAATGACAAATATAACTATGTTATCTGGAGTGCACATCCGAAAGAGTTATGGCATGTGTGGGATGATGGATTAGACTGCCTAATCATTATTAATGAAAAAAAGGTAGTTAAAATCTTATTGATTGTAGTGACAAGTCCTGTTTAGTACCACCGAAAACTATCCTAATGTTGATGTAAACATTTTATGCACTAGCAGCGTGAGTTCTTTATTGACACAAAAGCCTTCTTAGTCTGCCATGTTGCACTACTTCACGAGTTAGCTAGGAGTGTAGTGCACATGGTACACTTTTATATGAACTTCCAAGTATTCGTTGTCCTTAATATTATATATGTAGCTAGATTGTAGAAGTTATTTCAGAGCCAATTAAGTATTGTGCCACATGCCTTCAAATTCTACTTCGCCATTGAACTAGTTTGTGGAGTGGTAACTTGATAGTGCATGGAAAGTCACTTATAGACAGTATACTTCCATTCCTGCAACGTAAAACCTAAGTACATATGTAAAATCGTAATTTGTAATGTCCTAATTCCTGTCCTGGTTTTTTCTTTTCCTCGTGATAATGCCTAAATTATTGGTTAACTGGGAAGAGGAACACAAGTACTTTGTAACTTTTACTTGCTTCATGGGGAGGATAGTGTTCCATATCATAGGATCTGACTAAGTTTTAAGCTTTTTTTTTAACCTATCACAACTCTTATCCTTCACTTGGACTTGCAACTGATGATGAAAACCAACATAGGCGGAGTTAGTTCCGCACGGCACACTGAATGCATTATAGAAAAATAATAGACGCTCCTCTTTCTCTTTGCTAATTCAGGTGTTTAGCGGCTCTACAAGACTCGAGAGTTGGAACAATGAACCATTTCCATGCTGATTTATGTCCAAAAAACAATAAAAATTTCTTATCTTTAGAGCACCTTTTGAAAACTTTATAATGTTTACTGTTAAGATTTGATTAAAGAAAATATGTGGTAGTAAGATAATTACCTGTATAAACTATCAATGAATGTTATTACAGTTATATGATTATTTTGGCTTGGGACGGACAATGAAAGAAAACGTAGGCAGAGATAGTTCCATACCAAATACTTCATAGAAAAATATTTAGGGAAAATTGCAGCAGCGTTCCCTAACCTTTCACTTTTTTGCAGACTTTATCCTAACCATCAGTTGGTGCTGACGGAGGTTCCAAACCTTTAAAAAGTTAGCAGTTGGGGTCCAAATGGACCAACCATTTGACCGTTAGTTGACTAGAAAAGTTAATTTTAACTAAATTTGAAAATGGTAAAATGATAACTTAATCAATCCCATATTATAAAAAACCAAAAAAATTAGAAAAATAAAAAAATAAAAAACCTAAACCCACTCCCTTTCCCACATCTCACCCACACTGTTGGCACCGCCGCCCAAAGGCCGGTCTCCATCGCCACCACAGAACATTGGCACCACCGTCGCCGTCGAACGGTCGGCCAAACCAAACCTTGAGGGTGTGATGGATAAGGAACTAACACCACCGTTTCTTAGCCTCCAACCGATGAAAATTCTGCCAAAATCAGGCCGATGGTGCTGGAACCCATAAATCCTGTTCTTGGACCCTTTTTTTTCTTTTTTCAGTTGATTCTTGATTTTGCAAGCAAAGATGGTTTTGAAGTTGAACGAGAATTGGAGGAGGCTTGGGAGTTTTCAGATTTGGTGGTGCCTCCAAAAGCTATTGTTTGCCTTTTCCTTATTGCTATGTCATCAATTATAACAGTCATCACCACTCCCCATTTAATCTATCGCTCCAACATCAAAACCCGAAATTTCACAAGTAGATTAAATTCATACTCGTGCATACCCAATGGGGATGCCGTTGATTCGTAAAACGAAAAATTTTCACAATTTGGTTTTGATTTGAGCCATTTAGTTTTGATTTGAACCATTTGGTTTTGATTTATTTTTTAGGTTTAGGGTGGGAATGGTGTTGATATTTGATTTTGTGGGACGATGTGGTGGTTGACGCTGGCCTGCAGCAGGTGGCTTTCGACGGTTTTGATTTGTTTGGACCGGTGTGGTGTGGGTAAGGGCGGACCCAGGAAATTTTTTCAGTGCGGGCGATATTAGTAAATAGCAAATGCATAAAAATAACAGCATTATAACACAAACATTAAATTAAAAAATGAAATACCTTACAATTGTTATGTACGAGTTTTCATACTTTGATATCTTTGTACAATCGCCTCTTTATCAATCTTTAAGAATATATATTTCTCTACATAAACAATATGGCTATCATTCTCCACACTGGCAACTTCTTGTGAGACTTGTTCAAATATTTTTGCAACTTGATTAATCTGTTATCGGCCTCTTTTTCAATCACACTTTTCATAAACTTTCCACCATCAATACAATCTTTTTCCTTACTATTCAAACCATTGTTTTTCAATTCTCGTTTTTCCCTAGCTCTTGCCTCCCTGGCTCCCTCACCACTGTTTGAATCTCTTCGATTTTTCTCTCTATTTCCACCTCATCTGCATCCACAACTGAATTAACACCACCATTTTCAAAACCCACTATACCATTATTTTCGTCCAACACTTGGTTTCAAACTTTTCCCCAATCGGCAACCAGGCAACATCAACAACAGACAACAGCCAACACTTGAAATTATACTCTACACTCTACAGCCAATACTCTATAGCAAATATCTATTGCCATTGCATATACTCTACACTCTATAGCAGTCAACACTTGAAATTTTCCTCCAATACCCATTGCATATACTCTACACTCAACAACCAATAGCACTATAGTAGATGCCAGATGAATACGAATTGAAATTATAGAAAACTCACCAACCAGATGAACGCTAGATGCTGGGCTCTTGGGCTTGGTTCTGTGGTTTAGGGGACGAATGAGTCTGCGATGGTGCGTGGACGGTGGATGCAATTGCCGGTGTGGATGCAGGGGCTGAGGAGTGAGGGGTGTGCGTATTCTCCACTTTTGAGTCGGTGGCCGGTGTAATGTAATGGTTGTAGGGATTGTATCATACACTTTCGGCCAAATAATTGGGCCCACTTTTTTTTTTTTTTTTGGTATTGAGTTGCTGAAAAATTTGGGGTTGCCCAAAGCCTAGTGCAGGTAGGGCCTTAACTGGGTTCGCCCCGGGGTGAGGGGGTGGGGTGTGGAAGATGATGAAGCCCTATTTTCTTTTTCCTTTTTCTTTTTTTTTTTAAATTTAATTTTTTAACTTATTTAATGGGAGAAAAATACAAAGTACCATTTTGCCCTTTTTAATTTGGTTAAAATTGATCAAATTTTGACTTTTTTTAGTCAACTAACGGTCTTCCATCCATTTGGATCTCAGTTGCTAATTTTTCATAGGTTTGGGATCTCCGTTGGCACAAATTGAAAGTTAGGGTAAAGTCTACAAAAAAAGTGAAAGGTTAGGGATCACTGTTGTAATTATCCCAAATATTTATGATACTTTCTCTTTGCAAATTCTAATGTTTGGGATGCTATACTGGTTTGAGAGTTGGTTTAATGAACTATCTGTATTCAGATTGGTGCCAAAAAGGAATTTTGTTTTATTTTCTTCTAGATCTAAAGTGCATTTTTGTTTTTATCTTATTTACCTTTAGGTTTTGATTGAAGAAACTGTGGTAGCAAGATATTTATCTTATATTGGTTGTATATATACTATAAATGACACATGAATCCCGTTATACTGTTATTATCATTTTACATTTTAATACACTTTTCTTTTTATCCATTTCAACCTCTTATCTGGTTAATTTAAATTGATTTCTTATTTGTTAATTAGAACTCCACCTCCTTTTCATGTGTGTGTGCCTAAACAATTAATGCCTGCACTTCTTTACAAAGATGTAAGAATATAAAAAAAACATAAATCGTAGCATACAGAAGAGGGTTTTATTTTTCACTCGGAATTTCATGTGTTTACTAGCACTTAGTTTCCGAGTTATGGACAAGCCTTAGTTTGATAAACTCCTGAAGTTGTAATATGCTTTTCATAAGCTTAAAGAAATCAATTCTCACTGTAGAGAAATAGAACTTTGTAGTAACTCATGCCGTTGGTTTGCTGGATGATGAGTATCTGGGCCAATGTTTGCTTTTATTTTAAGTATTGAATATTATAGTTTGAGTTGATAGCGCACTCTTTCAGCTAATTCAGATATGATGTCTTATATCTGGAAATCTCCTTTTTGTTGAAAATTATGGATCTACTCGTGCATTTTATCTGCACAGAGATTGTTATACTTGGAAAAGAAACTACAGATACTATTGCTATTAGCCTATTACTAAATAAAACAGGAATATGTTCCCGTCTCTGGCAAAATAATGAATTTGCTCCCATCTTTGGTGAACTGGCAACTTTAGGATTTCTTTTTGATATCAATGGCATTTTTCATCTATTTTGCATTGCAGGCAAGTTTGAATAGATATGAGACGTGGCGTTAGCAGTGGTGGAGGGCAGAGCTCATTGGGCTACTTGTTTGGGGATGGTGAAGCACCGAAACCTGCTACAGAAATTGCCCAAGCTCTTCCAAGTGAAGTTCGGCCGGCAAGTAAAGAGCTACCCCAAAAGCCTAATGCTGCTGCTTATCAAAGTATAGATGTTAGTAAGCAGATTCCTGCAGGCATTCATAGTAGCACGGCAAACTACTTAAGAGCAGATGGTCAAAACACTGCCAATTTTATTACGGTATGACTTAATTGAAACATCTTGCTAACTTCGTAAAATGCTTAATAGGTTCACGCATCATATTATGCTAAGTTTTGGGTGTACATCCACAAGTAAAAAGCTTGCATAACGAGTCTAAATCACGCGATGCTTATCATTTTCTTACATTCAACTGAGACACAATCCCTATAGTTGAGAACGAGCAGACTTTAGTGTCAAAGATTTTGGAGCTGTCAGTGTGTAGTCAACTTAAATATCTAGAAACTGAGCTTGCTTTGACCTGGAGTTCAGATGCTGATATAGGTAAGTTTATTTTTGGATCAAAGATTGGGCCCTATTCAACTCTGGCTATTTATTCCATTTTTATTTTGTATAAATAATTAAAATTTTTAAACTAATTTAACCGTTTTCTTAAACACATCAATAACAAACTAACAAACTAAGGCCTTTTCCCATTTTATTTGGGGTTGCTAAATGAATCTTTTTTCAGTTCATCCGGTCTGTTCTCATTCCCGATAAATGTATCTGTTTCTTAAATAAACTAGTGCAATATACCAATTTTTAAGCTCAGAGTAAAAAAGGGTTTTTTTTTTCCCTTATTATTTTGCTGATATTACTTTCAAGTAGATGAATTGATGCAATGAGCACCTTCACTTTGATACATGGCAGAGATGAACACCTTTGTTGGCGGATATTCTTGTTATCTTTCTTTTCCACTTTTAGTATAATTATACATTTCTCATTTTTTGTTACATTCATCCTAGAGACGTACATTCTTTCAATGGTCCAACAATCAATACCATAAAGCATAATAGGTTTAATAATCAATTCGAAGAAAGAAAAATAAACACTCAAGAACACTCAAGATTTATAGAGGTTCGCTTCAATGTAAGATTACACCATCTCCCACTCCTGCAGTAATTCACTCCGATAAAAAAAGGTTTACAAGAGAAAATCGCACTCATATCTTCTTTAGCCTCCCTCTCTCTCTCTCTCTCTTTTGATGATATGCAACTTATGAGAAATGCCTTTTTTTGCTTCTCTACGCTTGATGAAGTCTTGCATCACTTACTTGAACTTTGTGATCACTCGTATCAAATACTCATACACGGGGCTTATCAGAATTATTCATTTAATGCAGGATCGGCCATCGACAAAGGTCCATGCTGCTCCTGGAGGCGGTTCTTCCTTGGACTACCTATTTGGTGGTGGAGGCAAGTGAAAGGCATACAAGCCTTAAGTGTCATTTTTAGTTGAATTATGTGAAATTTACCGTGTAAACAGATAATGTGTTTACTTTTGTGGTCAGCAAATACTCGTTAATGTAATTGCATATACAATCTTGCTACATGTACATCCCTATTTACACTCTGGCTTATTGAATATACACTTGGCACAATCTTACACCACTTTTCACATTTCAAACATTTAATCCAACCGTTATAGTACTTCCATATCATCAATCTGTTAAGAAAGGTGTACAAATAACTTAATCCTTGCACATATAGCTGGGGTTCACTGGGTTTTCCAAGCATATTTGCTGTTATTTTTATATGCATAAACTCTGTAGAAGTCTTTCCATGAAAGAAACTCAAGGACGCATTTTTGACAATATACGCTGAGGCCTCAATTTACTGTTCACCAATGTCACAGCTCACAATCCACCCCTCTCTCAGTTGAGTTTTGCGCAAAATTGACATGCGAGGAAAGGTGCTCAATTTGTTTATACAGGAAGACTTTGAGAGAGCATGCTACCGTGGGGAAATGCTCGAGTTGAATCCCACTTGGGAATCAGGTACCGTGGAATTAAAATATCTTCATTTATTTATTTTAAAGTTGGCCAATATGTGATTGGACAATGATGGGATATTTTGTCACCAGACTCACCACTACCTTCAAATGATATTTTGTTGTGCTAAAATCTCGCAAGGGAATGATATCGTAAACAGGTAATAAAGTAGACCAAAAAATTCGAATTATTATTCCCAAGCGGATTAAGTATTTAGTTATCCAAGCAATACTAACTTTAATCGAATGGCAAAAGTTGATGGAAGAGTTTTATATTAACAAATTAAACTTATACTAATATAAATAATCTAACTAATTGAGAATATGATGCTCAATTATTGAAGAAACACTAGGATTTCGAATCTCTCTATACTTTTCTATCTGAATATTAATTCCATTAATTTAATAACACTTATTAGGATATGAAGAATTACGTTCCTAATTTATTTTATAATGTGTCTCGAGTAGAATTAAAATATATCCTCACATATGACTCTACTATCTCTATATAAAATTCAAACACATGAAAATACATTAAATAACAAGAACATTTATAAAATCATGTAAAGTATAATGATATATCTATATTCCTTATCGAACTTTATAATGATACTCAGTGCTATAATTCCTATTCATTATCTCAAATTTCAATAAAAATTATAAAATGACTCAATGAATGATCAAGCCTTTGTTTGAGCCAAATTATTGTAGAATGAGAATGAAAAATATAATCGTTATTGGGGCTCACACAAGGAATAGAAAATTTGAATTTAAATGTTGATGTGATGGATAGCGATCATATTTTTCATTTTAATGAGATAATAAGGAGGCTCAAACGGGCCTCAAGTAATTAAAATACATGAAATTCCCAGCAATCATTCAAAATTACATAAATATTTAATGTTAAAATTTGAAAACTAAAATCAAAATTTCAAAACATAGGGTTCTACGTTATCCTAGCATCTTACAATCAGCCAGGCACCATATTATTACAAAATCACAAATTAGATGGATACAACATCACCCGAATTCAAAGAGTAGAAATAAGATGAAAAGAAATCTTGAATTGTTAAATTTCTTCAATGACTTCTTGATCAATCTCCTTGAATACCATTTTCTTCTTCTTCTTCAAACCAAGCAATGTAGGTATGAAAGTACATATTTTGTATAAAAAGGCTTCTTCAAAATTTGTAAAAAAAAAAAAAAAAATGTATTTGTTGATCAAGGGCTTCTATCGCTATTTTATCTCAAGAGTGTCCTTCTAGGGCTCTCTTCTTTGCAAGATATATACATTTTCTACCCATGAGACTCTCCTCCAATTGTAGATGAATACATGTATTTATAACTTCAATTAGGTCAAAATTCGTACCCTAACTGCTTTCGAAAAGTTGAAACAAAATAAGAAACAAAATTCGTACCACATCGTCTACAGGGTTGTGCTGCGATCGTACATGCCATGATTTTTATTTGTCAGAATTGAAATTACCTGTCTTGCAATGACATGGGCTTTTGCTTTACGATCGTAAGGCACATGTTTGCTTTTCCATTGAACTTGATCCCTGAATTTCTCCTTTTGTTCAACTCGAGTTCCTTCCTATTTGTCTTTTTAGTCTTTTATCTTTTTGTCATTACACTTTGGTCCTCATCCTCCCACAACTATTTGTAATTGATTAGACAAAAATTTCACAAGTTCATTACGTCCCTCAACTTTTCGAAAAATTGAATTTAAATTCAGAAACTTGTGAGTTTCCTCCAAATGCTATCTTAATGCTTCTAATTGATAAGGTGCAAATTAAGCTCGAAATCATATTTATTTGGTGAGTGGTGGACCTACTAGTCATTTAGTAACAAACAATATTTCAATTTTCAAGTAAAATTTTAAGAATTATTCTGCTTGTACATTTTTTTTTGTGTACATCATGGTTAACATTTTGTAAGGTGTAAAAATAGAGGTCATTGATTATTTGAAGTATTGTTAAAATCAATAGTAAAATTGTGTGCCACATCACATAATGTAAAAAATTGAGTAATGTTATTCATGTCCAGTGGAGATGAAAACACAGTTTATGTGGTATTAAATGATAGGTTAAATGAAATGTGAAATTAATTTCACCTATCATTTAATGCTACATTAACGCCACGTAGACTGTGTTTTCATCCCCAGTGAGAATGAATAACATTACTCTAAAAAATTTGTCAGCCATGATGTAAACTAAGCAAAACTGAAATTTTAAAAGAGTAAGCTACTTGTGCCAAAGCTGTTTACATATTCATTAACAGATGTTGATGTGACTTGTATTTTAAAATAATAAGTTAAAACCCATTTGGAGAAGCATTAAGCCATATGTACATTTTCCTTGACATTGTTGTTAACATTCCTCTATGTGTCAAAATCTGGCCAGTCATGTAATAGTGTTTTAGAAATCAATAATTACGATGGATGCCACGTCGAAGAGTGTCAAAGTTAACGAGTGACAAACTTAATGGAAATGACCAAGTACATACAACATGATTGGTTGGGGAAAACCAAAGTTATCCTTCTATTGGACAATTCAGTACCTCAGTGTGACTCTTAAACCCCCAGACTGTGCTGGCCTGGATGAGTTGTCCGAGCTCTTCATCAATGGCTTCTCTGCCTTTTATTCAATTTTCATCATTACCCAGGTTCTCTTTCTTTATTTTTTATTCCATCTTAAAGAAAATTCTTATACTTCTGAATCTTATTATCTTATGGATTCTTGGAATTTATAAACTTGGGAAGCTAAGATTTGTGTGTGTAGGTTCTTTACCATTTATATTGAAAAAGGAAAATTGAAATTTAGTAGTGAATCCCGATAAATAGTTGTGATAATGATGCTTTTTCAAAGGTTTAAGCCCAATACAGTGGATTAAGAGAATGAATATCTCTTTTGAATCTTCTACTTTATTTTTATATTTTGTTTATCCTGTGCAATTTATGCGAGTGACACTCAAGCGGGCATTTCTTTCCTTATATAAACTTAGTGAAACTTCCAGATTTTAGATCGAAGAGGGAATGGATACTTACTGCAGTATCTAAGAATAAAAGTGCGAGTCATTAGTTGAGGAGGCATCGGATGGAGACGCAGTAGTTGAAGGAGAGAAGAAACATCGAACAACTAAATGAGCTTCAGCAAGGAGCCAAAAAAAAAAAAAAAAAAAAGGGAATAACGGAGAGTCCGGATGAAATTTCGATTGTCAATGGTAGTCTAACAGACGTGAAAACTGAAAGAACTTCATTCTCAAACACGGGCGATGAAGAAATCCAAAATTAGAACTCGAAATTGCAGCCTTCGTGGAATTATCATAAGCATTAGTTTAAACTTTTATATTTTTGGTACTTTCTGCAACTACTTTGCAAATTTATTTAAACCGCAAATTTGCAATTACAAGAGATGCAGCCCCCGTGGTTGATCCAACACAAAAGTTTAGCACGGGCAGACCAAATGTTGATCGTTGACTATTGATCGTCCACAATCAATGATTGTAAGAGTAATGTCATTTATTAATATTTAATTAAATAATATTAAAAATATTAAATATATATGTAAATGTACTAAAACGTAAAAATTATATATATATGAAAATATAATTCAATACAACCTAAAATATTAAAANGCCATCCCAGTCCGGGCGGACGTTCACCGGTCAACGCCGACAGTCGGCGATCGTAAGAGCAAAGTCGTTTATAAATATTTAATTACATAATATAAAATCACATTAAAACGTAAAAATTATATATATATGAAAATATAATTCAATACAACCTAAAATATTAAAAAAATACGCGATACAACTATCCGACACTCGTTACACTCGTATCAATCTAGTAAGTAATGAATAGTTAAAACTTAAAATCACTCTAACAATCCAGGGTTCGTTACACTCCAATGGTCCCGTCCAACAAAAAACAACATCTAACATCTTTACAAATCACGAATTCTTCCATAATTTTCACTAATCACTACTCACTAGTCACTAGTGTAGAATATAATTCACAAATAAAAGCCACATCAACTTATATTTCTTTGCTCGTAAAACTATAAAAGGCAAGAGACGAACTAGCCTATAACTAATGGGTGAAAAACTGAAAATTGAAATACTAATCTTTTTAATTCTTGTTGTTTTTTTCAAATTCATAAATGTATTCACAAAAAAAAAATAATAAAATAAAAAAGAAAAGAACTGAAACAGAAACGGAAAGCCTAGAAGAAGTCGTTTATCGATAGCAAACGGCAGCAGCACAGCAAGTCAGCATGAGGTCTGGGTTAGCAAAACGCTGACAGCAGAGTAGGGAGAAGGAGTAGGAGTAGGAGTAGGAGAAGGAGAAGTGAAGATCTGATCGAAGGTCGGAAGCTGCGTGTGAAGGTGAAGCCGAAGTCTGAAGAGTGAAGGGAAGGGTTTGGAGTAATGGAGTCCCCCAGGTAAATGTAATGGATATCATTTCATTTATATTGGGCCTAATTTTTTAAAAAAGGCCCAACTTTCTCAGCCTAAAAGAAAAAGGTCAAAACTAAAAAAAAAAAAGGCCCAAACTTTTTAAAATATCCAACTTTCTCTGCCAAGACAAAAGAGCCAAAACTAAGAAAAAAAGGGCCTGAAAATAATGGTCTTTTTCTTCCCTTCTTCTTCTCATCTTCTCTCTGCAACAACAATATTGACTCGGCGCCCAACTGTATTGAGAACTCCGGTGGATCCAGCATGGGCGGCCGCGTCCCCTTGTTGGGTGCTGGGTCTGCCCCTGCTTGTAGCGGCATCTGCCTCTAGTACCTTGGAGAAAGTAACAACTGAAAAGAAAATGACAAAATGAAAAAGAACTAAGAAACCGGCTGATAGCATAGAAAGTCAAGGAAGTGAGATTGAATGTAGTGATAATTAAGGGGACACATAT